AATCTTCCACTTGGACTGTTCTGTGCACAGCTGTGAGACTACTGCTAAAGAGAACACCTGACTGCCAGGTCTGGACCTCCATCCTTAGAGAACCCAGCTCCACGCGGGGGCTATTCCAGGTCCTGAATAGGACTGCCCAGCTAAACCTGAGACCAGGTGCTGGTGGGCAAGACAGTAACCAACTAATCCTGCCTCGTACCAGTTCATGGAATACATCTGCTTCACTGTTAAAATACCTAGTGGTCGAGAATATAGATTTGTTTGAGATTCTGCATGCAATTAGAAAAATATTAATCTGCAAACAGAACCATGCAACTCCCCTGCCCACAAAAATGGCAGCCTCCTTCACTCTGAATAAGTCCAAAGCCCTTGACATGCGTGGCCTGCAAGCCCTATCCACTTTTGCTACCTCTCTTGCACTCCTGCCCCTCCCGTTTCCGCTGAGTTCGCTCTTTGCACAACATTCACAAGTGCATCCTCCCGGCCAAGAGAAGGCCTCTCCCTATCATTCCTACTTGTGTGTCTCGCTTCAGGTCCGAACTGCAAAGTCCATAGGAAGCCTTTCTTGATGACTCCCATCCTCCCAAACACAGTTAAGTTCTGCTGTGTTCCCGCAAGCATGGTGCACAGTACTTTTTCATCTAAGCACTCATCAGGATTTGTAAGGCTATATCTCTTTGTGTGAGGATTTGATTGTTGTCATTCTTTCTCCTAGAGGGTAGATCCTTGAGACTGGCTCAGCATGGAATAGGTAGCAATAAATCTCTGGCACGTAGTATGCACTCAGCAAATACTTGTTGGAATAATGAGTGAATTATAGATGATCATTTGCCTCACAATGATGAGGAGACAGGCTGGGGTCTTATCTACAGAGAACACAGAAGGATTTTCCTGTTCTTTCTTAAAGGATTATGGGGGACCATTCTACTGTGCGTGTCCCCAGAATTAGAAACTACAGAGGCAGACTTGGAGAAGTGCATTATAGCTCCTGCCAAAGACAAGGACCAAGACTCCACTTTCCCCATCCTATCACTTTCATGCTTGCCTACGCACCAGGGAGGAAATGCTTCACACTTGGAAATTACACAATCAGGTCATTTACTTTGCTTGCCTACCTCCCTAAGTCCCAGGCTCTTAGAACGTGTACTGGTGGAGGAAAGTAAGTGAATTCAGTTCAACCCTCAATCACACAAGAATTTTTCTTCCCATTTCCAAAAACTCAGAGGAAGAGAATGGGAATCGAAGGATCTGGCAGTTAAAACTGACACGTGGGGTTGGGGCGCCTGGGTGGCTCAATTGGTGAAGCGTCGGACTTCAGCTCAGGTCATGGTCTCGCGGTTCGTGAGTTTGAGCCCCACATTGGGCTCTGTGCTGACAGCTCAGAGCCTGAGCCTGCTTTGGATTCTGTGTCTCCCTCTCTCTCTGCTCCTCCCCAACTCGTGCTCTGACTTGCTGTCTCAGAAATAAATAATTTAAAATTTTTTTTCAAGTTTAAACTGACACACAGGGCTCTGCACCTGTGGTTCAGGGGAACAGGCCCAGCCTGGGTTCTTCTGGGCCAGAACTCAAGGACCTATTGAGATGAATGCTCCATGTTATTCATGGCAAAGCTTCACCCTTTATGGAAGCTTTAGGGTATAAAATGACTGCCTTGTTGCTTACGGTCCTGGAGCTGCAGAGGAAATCAATTCCATTTATACACCTTAAATAAATTTATAAGCAATAGAGGTCTAATACTGTAAATGACAAAATCTTTTCCCTTGGCAACCACTTCAAACAGCAAACTCAACAATGGCAGTTAATGTATCATTCAAAAGACACTCATGTAGGGGTACCTGGGTGGCTCAGTCCATCAAACGTCTGACTCTTGATTTCAGCTCAGGTCATGATCTCACATTCGTGAGATGGAGCCCAGCATCGGGATCTGTGCTGACAGTGCAGAGGCTGCCTCAGATTCTCTCCCACTCCCCCACTAGTGCCCTCTCTCAAAATAAGTAAATAAACTTTGAAAAAAAAAAAAAAAGACACTCATGTAATCAATTAACTCATTACACTTGACTATTCAGCCTGTGAATCCAAATGTAATCATCACCTCAAAGCTGGGTGACCATAATCAAGTCTACTAAAATGCCCCATTGAAATAATGCACTCTGGGGGGGAAATATAGTTTCAAGCCAGGGACACACTGACTCTGTAAGAGGGATTTAAAGTCTTACACTCCTGCCTTCTTGCCAGCAGTTCTATTTTCCCTCTGGCCAGAGTTTCCTCCTACAAAAATAAGGGCATTTCTATGGTCTCTCCCAGCTCCATCCACCTAAGGTTTACTGCTGTAGTGTACATGTGCACATGATCTGGTTTATTTTTAGCCCAAAGGCCACTTAGGGATGCATTAAGAATTCCAAGTGAGGTTCAAATTTGCAATAATACCAGTGGCCTGAGTACACAGCGTCAGGCTGCCAAAACTCGATTTAAAAACATCTTAGAGCTACTGAATCATAGCAAACTATTTTACAATGAGAAAACTGTGATCCAGAGAAATTAATTTCATTTCTTCTGATCATCCTACTCATCTTTCAAGATTCAGTTCAGCCACACACCCGTAAGACTTCCCTGACCACTTCCTGCTGTCATCAACCCCAAATATTTACTGACTGTTCGGTGCCAGCCCCTACTGCGGGCACCACCAGTATACAATTGAGACAAAAAATCCCTCCCCTTGAATAGCTTACATTGTAGCAGGAGACAGGCAATAAATAGCAAGTATAATAAATACAAATGGACACTGTACATCCTACAGTAGGTGGAAGGCTATAAATACTGTGGAGGAGTAGAATAGAGTGTGGAAAAGGAGATCAGGAGGGCCAGAGAGTGGGGGTTGGTTTGGTTTGTGATTTTTAAATAGTCACACAGGCCTTGTTGAGGTGGCAGTTGACAAGAACCTAAAAGGGGAGAGGAAGTTAGTTATGCAGGCACCTGGGAGAAGAGTGTAGAAGACTGTGCCAGGCAGGGGGAACGCCCGTGCAAATATTCTTAGGAAGGAGCATGCCTGGTGAGCACACGGGTAATGGGGAAGGAATGCAGAGGAAGTGATCACGCACAGAGCTCTGTGGACCACTGCTGGGGCTTCATCCACTGCACGGTTTGAGCGGAAGAGTGAGATGATCCGACTTCTGATCTCCAAGGTTCGCTCTGACTGTTTCACTGAGAATAGAATGTGGTGGAAAGAGATAGAAGCACAGAAACCTGATGGGGGCTATTGCAGTAACTTAGGTAGGAGATGATGGCAGCTTGGTTCAAACGGTAGCAGTGGAGGGAGAAGTGATTTAATTCTGCCTGTATTTTGAGAATACAACCAACAGAATTAGCTGATAGACTGGAGGGACTATAAAGAGAAAGAGTGGGGCGCCTGGGTGGCTTAGTCGGTTAAGCAGTTAAGCGTCCGACTTTCACTTAGGTCATGATCTCGAGGTTCGTGGGTTCGAGCCCCGCGTCGGGCTCTGTGCTGACTGCCAGCTCAGAGCCTGGAGCCTGTTTCAGTCTGTGACTCCCTCTCTCTCTCTGTCCCTCCCCTGCTCACGCTGTCTCTCTCTCTCTCTCCTAGAAATAAATTTTAAAAAAAGAGAGAGAAAGAGTGTTTCTGAGGGTTTCCTTCTTTTTTTAAGTCTACACTAGATACCTACTAAATATTCCAATTCACCAGAATGTGTCTTAATTTTTTTTCCCATCTCTTTCACCCTGCACTAAGCTGAGGGCAGACATGCTGTAGTCATTTCCACATTCCCAATGACGATGGCACCAGTCAATAAATATTTGCCAATACATATGTGACTGGCGTGACAGAAGAAGTGAACTTTGAACTTCTTTAAACATTTAATGAATTTAGGGGTGCCTGGGTGGCTCTCTCAGTTAAGCATCTGACTTCGGCTCAGGTCATGACCTCCCGGTTCGTGGGGTTGAGCCCCGTGTCCAGTTCTGTGCTGACAGCTCAGAGCCTGGAGCCTGCTTTGGATTCTGTGTCTCCCTCTCTCTCTCTCTGTCCCTCCCTGGCTTGTATTCTCTCTCTCTCAAAAATAAATAAGCATTTTAAAAACTGTAATGAATTTAAATTAAATTTAAAAATGATACTCAACTCATTGTAGAAATTTTTGTGTCTTTGGAACAACCTGGGTATATATACCTAATTTTTCAACTAACTTTTATGAAGTCTGGATACTGATCAAGTATTTCCACTGAAAACTTAGTGTTCAAATTGAGATGTGCTGTTACTTATAACACCTACACCAAATTTCAAAGACCTAGTACAAAAAAAAAAACCTCATTAATAATTTTATGGTGATTATGGTGATTACATGTTGAAATAACATCCTGTATATATTAGGCTAAACAAATTATATTATTAAAATAATTTTCATGTGTTTCATTTTTTATTAAAAAATTTTTTGTAATGTTTTATTTATTTTTGAGAGAGAGGGAGAGTCAGAGTGAGCAGGAGAGGGTCAGAGAAGAGGGAGACACAGAATCTGAACGCAGGCTCCAGGCTCTGAGCTGTCAGCAGAGAGCCCGACGCGGGGCTCGAACCCACGAACCGTAAGATCATGACCTGAGCCGAAGTTGGACACAACCGACTGAGCCACCCAGGCGCCCCTCTTTCTTTCTTTTTTTTTTTTTTTTTAATGCGTTACCAGTCAATTGAGAGTTACACATACGGCTCGAATTCCACCGCTCAGAAAAACTGCAAGGAGGTGTTGAGCTTACAATACGTTTGAAAGGACACACCATCAAAGTTAGCTCAGAAGGCAAGACAATAGCTGACTAATGCCAAACAAGAACTACTGTAGAGGTTCCCAGGAGGGAAGGGACACCCACCGGCCGGCCAAACTAGAGAAGGCGAGCAGACGACGTCGCGAGTTTTGAGCGAAGGCGCCGCAGGGGGCGCTGCGCACGCCCGGCCCTCCGCTCCGCCCGGAAACGCCGGCGCCAATTGACCCCGCCGCCGCGCCGTAGGTCAGGCTGCACGCCGCCGGCTGCCATGGCGAATGTGTCCGAGCGGACGTTTCAGGTGTCTGTGCTGGTGGCCTTCGCGTCTGGCGTGCTCGTGGGCTGGCAGGCGAACCGGCTGCGGAGGCGCTACCTGGACTGGAGGAAGCGGAGGCTGCAGGACAAGCTGGCGGTGACTCAGAAGAAGCTGGACTTGGCCTGACCCCCGCGCTGTCGGCCCCCGCGCGCCCACCTCGCCTTGCACTTGCAGGGGCTCCGACCCGTGACCCACGGTCTCCTGACACTCGCCTGCAGCGCCTCGCCCGTTTTGGAGAGTCGGTGAGCATTTCTTTCGGTGCGGAGACGTCGGGCGCGGGCTGGTATCTTGGGGCAGGAGCGCCTGTGGGTACTTCATAGGGGACTCTATCCTGCAGACACTAGAAAAGAGGAGGTTTTGTTTTCCCCCCAAACTTGCACTGTGATGTCGTATTTCTGTTCACTGCGTGCCTTGAGTGAGAATGTCATACCACGTGCAATACTGTTGCACCTTGCCATTAAACGTCTGCAAAGTAAAATACTGGAAAGAAGGAAAGGAAAAAAGAAACGGACTGTGGAGGTATTCCAGCCACCTCCTTTCCCCCATATCATTATTTTCGATAATATCCTTGACAGACCATGGTACATCTTTGCACTCCTGTTTTGTAATCTCCAATCTGAATTCTGTGGTTATTAGCAGCCTAGTAAAGTGGAAAGAGCAGTGGCCTGGAAGTTAGGAGCCTTGCGTCTCGTGGTAGCTTTTTCATCAGAGCAACGCAAATTTTCATCTGTAACATCAGTTCTTACAGTTCATAGTTTAACTCCACAAGAGAATAATTTGAAGTTAACAATTATATATTTCTAATTGTGTTTCTCTTCTGTTTCCAGCAGTTTGTCGAAGATGGATACAGAACACTGGACAGATCTAATTTCTCCTTGCACTTTATGAAGTCAATTTTATTTTCAAAATAAAAAAAATATTTAAACCTCTTCGAGTCTTTTATCAAAAGGAAAAGGAGTATCTTGCCTGGCAGGCAGTTCACTGCATCAAAAGATCGGGATTCTCAAAACTCATCTATTAGTGTTTTTGAGCAGATATCTTCTCTCTTAAGGAGTATATGGTAGTTTCTAGATACAACTGCAAAGGAGAGTTGGCGTAGGGACCATTAGGAGTCCTTTTGCCCAACTGTTAATGGACCTGTGCGGTAAAGCAAGGGACTGTGTAAAAATAACTGAGTTAAGGGTGGAGTATGTAAGACTTTTGCACCTATGAGAGTGACAACATACTCCAACTTTTACTGGCAAATACTTCATATTTATGTCATTATGTTATATATTAAAGGAAACCCCCTCTTGACTAGAGCTTAGTGATAAATTCTAGTTGTTACCTAAAAATCTAAAAATCAAGAGTGACTAAGTCCTTGTCTATTTTTAATTCACAAGAGGTGTTTTCTATAACAATGTCCTTGCGAATTAATTTTGTGTCTCAGCACATTTAACAGCAGCTCCATATTAACATAAGAACTTTCAAAAAAGTTGTTTCCACACAAAGCTTTTATTTTTTTTCCCATTGTACTGGAGCCATTATGCTTTATTACTTCCAACTCTTGTTTTCATTCTGTGAACGCAAGGACTAAAATGTTGGTTCTTAGAGCTCATCCCATCTGGGCTGCAGTTTGCTTCTCAACTATATGAGAAGACAGGCCTATAGGCTGGAATTCCCTCATTGTTCTTTCTCTCAATAGCTCTGCCGAAGGGCAGTGGTTTTTCAAAAGGGCTGCACAGTATAATCATCTAGAGAGCCTTGAAAATATCAGTATGCCACAGATTTCAATTTAGGTACTTTGGGGTGTGCCTGGGCTTTAGGATTTTTAAAGCTCTCCAGGTGATTGTGAAGCTTGGCAGAAGTTCAAAACTACTGGTTTCGAGGCTTCAACTCATCAGCTTTTCCTTTCTCAGAAGAGAAGACACATCCCTTCCAAGGTTGACTCCTCTTTGGCCTCAGTTGAATTCTGCATCTCTCCGCCCCCTTCCTTGTTCTCTCTTAACACAGTTTATTTTTAGCACCTGCAGTCTCTCTGCTTTCCAAAGTCTTGTTACAAACACGCACAGATCTTGACATTAAAAAAAAAAAATCTTTAGTTGGCCATCATTTGCTAATTAGAAAAAGTGGTCCACTATTACTTTCTTCCTAAATGCTTTGTTCATTAACCTGCTGGAGCCTGCCCTCTGCACGCTCCAGGGCCATTGTTATCCAATGGCCATTTCTTAACTCTTATTTTTCACCTCCAGAATATTTGATAATGCCAGTTTCTCCCTGGAAATTATTCTTCCCACACTTCCCTAATAATATAAACTTACCCACATTTCCGAACTTTTACTACTGCTTCCCTTTCCAAGTTCCTGAAACTTCAAGGATAGTCCTCTGCTCTTTCCTTTCCCATTGATTACCAAGCCCCTCTCCAGGCTTCATTATCACATCCAAGCAGAACCCTCTCTAAGATATTTCTATCCAACCTGATCCTTTTATTTCCAGCTTCACGCTTTCAAGTGTCTCACAGGTGTTTTTATTAGAGAACTCAAGTCCAATGTGTACAGTTCACCTGGCAGGAAATTCTGCATGCCAGGTGACACTTCTATGACAATCTTTGGTAGTTGGTACAGCTTCATGATTCTAGTCCACCACCCTAGCTCATAAGCTCTTTGAGGCCAGTGCCTTAAACATCTTGTACCATAGGCCCAACCAGTGCTTTGCACCAAGGTGCTCATAAATGCTTGACACTTTTATTTGAGGTGGATTGTTTTAAGAGCCTGAAATAGCCAACTTTCTCTGTCCTCTTTGCTGTAATCTTTCTTTAGTAGGTTCCTAACTACTTAGTTCTGCTAGTTGTACATAATGAGCCTCTCAAAAGTCATTAAATTCCTTTTCAGTGTCTCCTGTAAGGTAGCAATACAAACAATATTCATTTTAACACAGTAGGAATAAAATCATAATGAGTTTTATAAAATAGCTTGTTCTCAGGAGAAACAGTCATCATACTTTGCTTTGGTTTTGGCAACCTCACTACTTTGTTTTAGGTTACTCTGATTTTCATAATGGCATCAAGGGATAACAAGAGAAAAGCAAAGATGACTATGCTGAGCATCACAAATCAAAAGAAATGTAAATTAATGAAAAAGAAGGCAGCTGAGTACTCTCATCTCTTATAGCACACTAAATACTATTGAAATAGTATTTCTCAACCTTGAAATGTACACATGAAACACTGAGGTATTGTTAAAATAGAGGTTCTGATTCTGTAGGTCTGTGGTGTGGCCTGAGGATATGCATCTTTTTCTTTTTTGAGGATATGCATTTCTTTTTTTTTAAATTTTTTAAACTGTTTTTTATTTCTGAGAGAGAGACAGCGTGAGCAGGGGAGGGTCAGAGAGAGAGGGAGATAACAGACTCTGAAACAGGCTCCAGGCTCTGAGCTGCCTGTCAGCACGGAGCCCGAACCCACGAACCACGAGATCATGACCTGAGCTGAGGTCAGCCACTTAACCGACTGAGCCACCCAGGCGCCCTGAGAATATCCATTTCTAACAAGCTCCTAGATGATGGTGATGATGCCGACCCAGAACTCAAAGGAATAAATGGTTATAACTCTGAATATGGTAAAAAATGTGTAAAGTTAAAGTCATTTTTCCACTTGAGATGAACAAGAGTAATAGGCTTTTTTGCATCTTCCTCATTGCTCACATATGCATACACGTAAGGGGTTTATTTGTTTATTTTTACAAACACAGAATTATACCATATTCATGACTGTAACTTTTCCATTTAAAATAAGGAAATCCTCATAGATCAGATATACATTTTCTAATTTATACATACGTATTTAAGGCTTTCATAAATGATACATTTTGCTTACTTCTTACAATAGCACTCCTTTCTCATTTGTTATTACAAACCTGTTTTCGTTTTTGCTTTAATATAGAACGCTTCAGGGGGTGCCTGAGTAGCTCAGTCAGTTAAACGTCCAACTTCAGCTTGGGTCATGATCTCGCAGTTCATGGGTTTGAGCCCCACGTCCATCTCTGTGCTGACAGCTCAGATCCTTGAGCCTGCTTTGGATTCTATGTCTCCCTCTCTCTGCCCCTCCCCTGCCTGTGCTCAGCCTCTCTCTCTCTCTCTCAAAAGTAAACAACATTTTTTAAAAATTCTTTAAATATAGAACGCTTCAGGAATTTGCATGTCATCCTTGCATAGGGGCCATACTAATCTCTTTATGGTTCCAGTTTTAGTATACGAGTTGCCCAAGCCAGCACTGTAACAAATCTTTTTAATGAAGATACTATGTTGGGCTATTTATGTTAATTTTTAAGTATCATGAGTCATAATGCAGAAGTTAACTCAACCTAAAGACATGAGCCACAAAAAAGCAGATAATACCAGATGTTGTCAAGGATATGAAGAACAGCAGCCCATAAAGGTAGAGTAAATTAGTACAACTTTGGGAAAACAGGCAGTATCTACTAAACCTGAGCATGAAACATACCCTGTGGTCCAGCACTGTATATACATGTTTGTACTACGTATATATACGTATGTAGTAGTGCTGTTTATAATAGCCCTAAACTGGAAACTACCCACATGTCCAGCAACAGTGGAATGAATGAGAATATTAAGAGCATATCACACAATAAAATACCAGAGAGCAAAAGAACTGAACAAATTACAACTACACACGATGATTACAGATGCATCCCACAAATACATGGTGAGTGAAAAAAGCCCACCAAGATGCCAATACACACTTCATGATTAAACTGTACAGTTCAAAAGAGGCAAAACAAGTTTTTGTTACAAGTTAGTATAGTGTTTACTTTTGACATCAGCAGTGGAGGTGGGTAGGGATTAGGAAGGGAAGCCTACATAGGGTGCTGGTAATGTTCTGTATCCTTATATGGGTGATGTTACGTGAGGGCGAGTTCAATGTGAAAATTCAGTGTGATGGACACTTTGTCATTTTTCTCTATGTATATTTGAAGAAAAAAAGTACACAAATAAGCAGCATAGTAGCTGGACCTATGGAATCAACTTGTTCGTTGTACTGAAGAGCATTTATCCTTTGCAAAGTGAGCTCATAGCATCATCATTCTTACTCGGGGTAGTTAGTGCAAAGTTTGGGAACTGGACTCAAAGGATTCAGTACCATCTGGGGAAAGGTTATTACAATCTCCTTGAGTGGACATGTAAAATGGAGATCATTATTTGCTCACATACCTGCTGCAGGACAGACAAAAATCACCATCCTCACAGAACTCAAGACGGACAACGTGATAACGTGCAAAACTAGAGTGAAATAAAACAGCGATACCCCAACTGGCAAAGAATTAAAAACCGTCCTTTGAAGTCAGAGTATGCGACAAAATCATGTAGACCACATAGGAAAGCTATCCTTGCAGTTAATTTAAGTGTTTAAGACGCTTAAATTTTGCCTTAAGATTTAGTTCAACAAAACTGGTACAGAGAACAAATGCCGTAACACCTACAACCTCAACAGCATTGGCGCGGTAACACTGAGGTATTGTGGGACATGTAGTTTCCGACGCCGTGGAACATTCTCCGCCACCTCCACCCCAGTCCTGTGGAACTGGCCAGCACAAGAGGACTAGCTGGGCAGTGGGCCTAACCTGAGAGCCCAGGACCTGCGGCGTGGAGGGACGGCTACCTCCACATTCTTCCTCCACCCTCCGGCCGGGTTCCAGGGCTGCGAGGCGGGCGCGCCGTGATTGCGTCAGCGTCCCGCTAGCCGCCGTGGTTTCCCTGGCGACCCGAGTGCGCCCGGAGCAGAGGCGACGGAGATGCTGGCTAGGCGGCAGCGTAATCCTCTGCAGGCCCTGCAGCGCCGCACTCAGGAACTGAAGCTACAGGTATCGTCTGGCTGTCCGGCCGCGGGCCTGGGCTCTAGCGGCGGGCGAGATCTGGGGTGCACCCTAATCCTAGGAGCCTACCCCAATCCACTTACCTTCCCGAGTTGTAGCGTTCCTTCCCCCACCCCAGCATCCTGAAGCTAAACCCCGATTCTAACCCCTCTTGCTCCTAGTCCAACTCCCGGAAGTTGAAACTCCCGAAAATCTTGACCATCGACTTAGCACCTTACCCCTCCCCCTAACATCTCGGTCTCCAACCTAATAACTCCCTTAACCAATGTCACTTCCAAATCTAGACCTACCAATAACCATTTCCAACTATCTCTGTGCCCATCGCTTTCCTCCACTCTCTATGCCTCCTTATCTTTGAGCCTTTTTCCAGTGGAAGCTGTGTTTGCTTGACATGAACTCAAAACGAAATAGATGTTAAAGAATAGTCCTAATATGTAAGGAAAATATTAGGATCCGACTTGGACCCATGTCCGAGTGAAGGACATGAACTGAAGAAGAAATACAAGGAACCCATAAACGTGAGAAAAGTTAACTTAAAAAATAATCAAGTAACTGCAAAGTAAATAAAATATCACAAACATTTTTAAAAAATCACAATAGTCAGTACTGAGGAGGGTGTGATGAAACAGGCACTGATATGCAAGGCTCTAGAGTATAAAGTACAGCATGTCTGGAAAGCAGTATGACAAGATGTAGCAAACATTCATGCTCCTAGGTGAAGTAATTACATTTCCAGGGATTTGCCATGCATAATAATAAAAAGATTGGGACACAGATTGATGTATAAAAGTATTTATCACAGTGTTACTTAGCTTGGATATCACTTAAATGATCAGTAAGAGGGGAATGGATAAATAACTTATGATGGGATGTAATCGTATGATTAAAATTTTGTTATTTTAGTGTGTTAGGGGGAATATTTGTGATAAAATGTCAAGTTAGAAAAAAAGATCAAATATATAATTGAATATACAGTGTTTCAATAAAATTATTTTATGTATAATATACACAGAAAAAAGATTAAAGGAAGGGCATGTGGATGACTCAGTCAGTTAAGAGTCGTACTCTTGATTTCGGCTCAGGCCCTGATCTCATGGTTTGTGATTTCAAGCCTCACATAGGGCTCTGAGCTGACAACACAGAGCCTGCTTGAGATTCTCTCTCCCTCTCTTTCTGCCCCTCCCCTGCTTGCACTTTCTCTCTCTCTCTCTCTCTCTCAAAACAAATAATAAACTTTAACAAAAGAAAAAAGGTTGAAGGAAACATCCCAGGATGGTAACTGTGTGTGCTAGAATGCCGATGATTTTTGTTTCTCTTCATACTTTTTGATATTTTCATAATTTTGAACACCAAATGTATATCATTTTTATAAAAAATAAAAAAGTAAGTAGTAATTAGTGGTATGTTAATTTATTTTCCAAAAATTCTTATTTTGCTTTGATAATTTTGCTCTTTTTCATTTGATCTATTACTAAATAAAATTATTTTCCAATCTTTGACGGATAAGAGATTTACTGAGTGCTCATACTTGATCCAGTTTTGGACTCTCATTTAAAAAGTACAAAAGAAGGGCGCCTGGTGGCTCATTCAGTTAAGAATCTGACTCTTGGTTTAGGCTCAGGTCATGATCTCACACTTCGTGAGATCAAGCCCTGCATGGAGCTCTGCCCTGACAGTGCGGAGCCTGCTTAGGATTCTCTCTCCCTCCCTCTCTGCCCCACCCCTGCTCTCCCTCTTTCGAATTAAATAAATAAACTTTAAAAAATAAAATCAAAATAAAAAGTACAAAAGATTTGATGGGTATAAGTGACTTTTGGATTTACAGTCTTGCGATGGAAACAAAATGCTCTTCTGGTAGAAATAAAAGTTGATGAGGCTTTGACTAAAATTGAGCTTTGGCTAGATGCTTAATATGGTTTTGTATCTGATTTTCAATTTAGTGGGACCTTGGGAGAACCAGGGAAGTTTCAGAAGTAAGGTACAAAAAATTATTACTAACACAAAGACAAAACAAAACAATTACAAAGAGTAGTGAACCTGGAGAAGACTTGGCCCAGGAATCTTCTGATAGCCTGAGTGTCTGGGAAGGGCTCTCTGACAGGGAACACCTGTCTCCACAGAGGTCACTTGAAGCAAAAGATGAACAGATTTCCAACTTGATGTCCATGGACAAGCAATCAAGAGCCCATCTGGGCCATGCCTGTTATGACGGACTCTGTCACCAGCTGTGAATTTTGTAACTGACACTCAGATGCATAATTGGAGGAGTAGACAAGAAGCTAGTGAATTCGAATTTCTCTTCTCTCATCCATTTTGTCTTCTCCACATCATCTTTTGAAGAGAACCCACAAATCGCTTCTTGGCCTTTTAGCTAAGATCAAGTGTAAAAGAGAACCCAAAAGAAATCTGTGCCTCTTTTGCGGGTACAGTTACAGTACATGGGCAAAGTTACACAAAGTGTTTAGAAAGTACCATGTCAAGGTGTAAGAATATAAGAATGAGTGTAAACAAAGCTGTGGCATGTTCATACAATACTATTGAGCAACGGAGGAATAAACTATAATACAATGTGGCAGTGTCTCAAAAACATGCTGTGTGAAAGGATGACACAAAAAAGTACATTCTTTCTGAGAACTTTCCGGGGTGATGGTAATTTTCTATGTATTGATACAGGTTAGAGTTACCTGAGCGTATGCATTTGCCTAACTCCGCAAATGTATAAGATTTGTGCATCTCACTGTATGTAAATTTTATAACAAACATTGAACTCTGGTTAGTGATACCTACAGTGCATCATTTGCAGGGCAGTGTATTGATGACTGCAACTTACTTTGAAATACATTAAAAAAAATAAGATGGATTGATGATTAGTTGGATCAAAAGGTATAGTAAAATACTAATGGTAGAACCTAGGTAGGGGTATGTGAGGATTCACTGTGAAATTCTTTCAACTTCATTATATGTTTAAAAGTGTTCAATGTGACATCTTGGGAACAAAGAATTAAAATTTTATTTCCTGTGGTCATACGGTATTTAACAATATAATCTAACAGTCTCTATTTATCGTAGGTTGATAGCTTGCTTTCTGAGAGTCAGTTGAAAGGAGCTCTAGAAGCCAGTAAAAGGCGAGATATTTACCAAAGGTAAAACCCACTAAATTATATAAGCTTTCCGGAAACCACACTTAACATTTCATTGGGCAATGTGTATAGCCTAGAAATTGTTTGAAGTGTTCTTTCTTTCCCCTTTTTATTGTACAGTTTCTAAAAAGTCGAAATAATAATAAAAGAAATTATACATGAAATTTTTCAAAATGTATTTAAAAGTATTTCTTGCAGTTATCTGTATCTCTCAGGTTGTAGATATTGGAATGGCCAGAT